CCGGGGTTTAGTTTCACTGCTTCAACGATAATTTCTCCTAATCTAACGCAACATGAGTAATCTAGAAAGTTTTCGAAGTACGAGGCGACCCATACTGCAATAACCATTAACCTGATCCCAAATGGTGTCACATGATTCACATCGAATACAATCAATGAAAAACGTAGTCCTCCTAAGGCTTTCCCTTTTCATTTCGGACGGGATTACATGGTAAGAAGTTAAGCATTCCTTACTTTATCATGGCAAAACTTTAATCCATAACTCACCAACGTGTAATTAGATGGTTATCGAACAGAAGAACGGATGCCGAAATCGACTAAGCAAACAGCGGCTCAGCAAACAGAGAAAAAGTTCGATTTAGAATATGTAAAAAAGGTTTCTGAAGAAGTTTTTGTAAACCTGATCAGGACTGAGAGCAGTTAAGTGATGTGCAATCCTATTAAACCTGATAAACGACCAATCCGTAGCACCACTCAACTGCTCAAAAATGAAGCTTTAGTTATACGAAAGACGATGGGAAGACAGAGATGTAACAAAATTTTCAAGCTTTGGAAAACAAGTCAACTTGTGTGAATTGTTTCCGGCAGGCAAAATTCCAAAATAAAAATATCAAAGACTCAAAAGCAAGACCATTTCTTACAAACTATCCAGCCTAAATTTGCGAGAGAAATATCGAGCAGGTATCTACTCTTATGTGAACAGCTATTGACAATCTCTGCTGCGATAGGCTGCATACTTTGCTTTGGAAATAGGAACCGATATTGACAAATGAACGAAAACGAAACTTGCGAAGACACATCGAAAGCGGGGGAATGCTGTTTCCCACCTGATTCGAAATGGGCAAAACCCTACCCAGATGTGAACAAACGTAGAAGATCATTATGATCAAGTAGATTCTGAGAGAGACCAAGTAAAATCAACACAACAGCCAGAAACTTCAACAGCTGTTCGTGCTAGTATTGACCGGCCGGCCGCGGCGGACCACATGAGCGCCTCGCAGATGCGGCAACGGCACATCGTAGCCGCATTCGTGTCAGGACCCGCATTTGGCCAGCTTCTGCTGCCGTGCAGCCGGCTGTAGATGGCTTTAGGGCGCTAGTGGGGAAGCTCGTTGTCATCCGGGGGATTAAACCTATTTCTATGGGAGAAATATTGCGAACCTCCCTCGAGGCGTCCCCACCCAGGAGCTTAGTCCATGTATTTCTCATCACCAGCAGCCCAGTCCCCTTAAAAACTTCCCATACTCTTCACAAACTACAACTTACTTTCAGTTTTCCAACAGCCGATGTTTTCGAATGTTTTTGAGTGATGACGAGTTTCCGATGGTGACACATAACCAAATAAGTGCTCATGATCCGAATAAGTCAAATACCTACCTAATTAACTACGGAGAAGTGAAAGGTTAGAAGGGGATTGGAATGGGAGGAATTTGAACGTCGTAAATGGTCCGCGTAAAAGACAGGTGACGCCTCAAACTACAGCACTGCCTCTGCCCACCTATGCAACGTTCATCATCCGAATAGGAATTCATATGAGCGCACCACAAACTTTTACTGACTGTCACTCATTCCACACCAACCGGTTGGAGTGACACTGTAATCACTCGGTTATGAAAAAGCACAGCAGGAGAAGTGTGTGCTAGGGATTGTTCAAACCTGCTGTGACGCAATAGGTGGACAATATCGGGTGCTAAGTGGGTTGGGGGGTGCCACGCGGCGGCGCGGCACTTTTCTCGTCTGGCGCTCTCTTCAGCGAGATGGTAGTACTGGGCCTGAGTCTACGAAGGGATGGTGAGGTTGTACTGAAGTGTTTCGTGATTCAAAACAAATCACCTCTTGGCACATGTTATATGCTTGCATATTATGAATACTCTTCTTCTGAGCCGATAAAACCCTATTTTCAAGAAGGGGAGGGGCTCCGGGGTGGGTGAGATTGTTATCTCGTGCAAAAAGCTGAGATGTGATAAAAGCTGAACGTCCAATTGGCTCACCCACCCCGGAGC